CTTTGTGTCATATTTTTGTGGTTTAAAAAAAAAAATACATATGGTTCAGAACGGATTAACTATATTTACATTGAACCTTATGGGAAAATTTGATTCAGGTCGCGACCAAAATCAGTTGGTGACCAAATTCATAGGGGTCAGAACGGATTAACCGTATTTACATTGAACCTTATGGGAAAATTTGATTCGGTAGCAACGAATTCGGGTCGCGACCAGAGTCGCGGAACGAATTAAGTTCGTGAACCGAGGTACCACTGTATATTCAAAATGGTCCTCTGTAGGTTATTGGTAATAAGACAAAACATTTTTTGTTGGGGAGTAAACTAAGAGCTGTTTTCAAATAAGAAGTCATTGTCTTTGTCTACACCCAAATGATTAGAACTAAAACTATAATTCAGTAGATAAATTTGAGGTTCCTTTGTTCAGAGATGGCCACTAAGATCAAAGCTGGTGAGGAGCGGAAAATGACATTATAAGCACTGAAGTCAGGAGAAAAATTACAAGCTATAATTATAATTTGTATGTACTTTCTGTGTTTCACTTTTCTCTGCTCTTGCTATGTACATATACAGTGAGCAGTGTATAATGCACCCTGCTATGATTGTGCAATATAGGTAACTTAATGTAATGTTTCATACACTGAGAAAGCATTTTTGCTGTATTAAAAGTTTTAATTGTTAAGATACCACAAGATCTTTACTAATACTTGTGAGCACTGTAACTCTTTGCACAAAGCCACAAAGCACCATGGTCTTTTTGCTGAATAGAGGCAGCTGCTCATATTTATTAATAATCACTACTTTGATCTTTAAAAAGATGCTGTTCCCTTCTATAGCTTTTAGTGTCCCAAAAGCTGGGGAAAGCACATAGCTAGATCTTTTCCTCTGGCTTCTGGAAATCTAGATGAATTTTGTCTTTATCCCCCACCCCTTTTTTTTCCCAGCAGCATATGGAGCAAAGAAAAACACAGTGCAAAGCTCCAGTGTGACTAATACAGGGGTGTCCACATCATCTACAACTGGTGAGTCTTCCTCTCTTTCACAATAAACAGCAAAGCAGACTCTGCAGAACTGAGAAATCCCCCCTTTCTGTGGTACATGCTCACTACATCATGGGGAGAAGGACCTGTGCTTCTGTCTCACATGCCTGCTATCCAGCAAATCAAGAGCTCTACCAATCTCCTTTCCCTGGATGGATTTTCAAATTTCCTCTGCTGTGGTGGTGCTTGTGGGTTTTGATTAAATGTACATTATGGGTATATTTTAAAAGGAAAAATTCCTCTCTGTGTTGAATGTAAGTCTTCAGACTTACTGATATGAGAAAAGTTGCTATTTCAGAAAAGACTTCATTCAAGTATGGAATAAGGCTGGGTTAGCTTTGCTGCTGTGGCCAAGGCAAGGTGGAGCGAGGAGGATTTAGTTCAATATTAGGGAAGGTCTGTGGTTGATCTGCCAAAGAAAAGCATGAGAAAAGGTGTAAGGAAGGGTTTGGGTTCTGCTTCACAGTATTGTTGTAGGTATAAACCAGTATATGGAAGTAACCATTTTTGCAACTTCCATAGTTAAGCAAGAACATCACAACAGCTTTTTTTTGCTGGGGAAAGTTCTGATTCCTCCTAAACAGTTATCTGAGGAAGAGGACTGACTCTAAATTTATCATTGAGTTGGTTTGGCTATTGTAGCATCTAGAAAAGTGCAGAAGGGATATCTGCTGGAAAGCGTATATCCTGGTAGCACTGTACATTAAGCTATCAGTGCTTTGTCTGGATTTACATTAAAGGTTAAGTCTTAAAATAATCTACAGTATTTCAGTGTGTATAATTTGAGTAACTGCAGCCACAGAAGTTTGTAAACCATGTTTTTTTCTTGGTGTATCTTGAGAACTTAGTCTGTGCTGTCATTACAACAAATCACAGTGCTGCGTTAGCCCTACCTTTGTTTGAGTGGCTGAATTCATATATTTGACATATGCAGTTCACTCCCACAAGGAGTGGCCATGTAATTGGATGGCTTTAGAGTGGGACTGGAGGACCGGTTGATCAAAGCCTTGAAGATTCAGCGTTCTCTCAGAATTGGGGTAGCTTGCCTACAAATACTTGGAGGGGAGCAACAGTAGAAGAAAAGGTATATCTCCACCTCCTTCCAGTGACTCTTTTGGGCCTCTAAGAGAAACAAAATGCAGGACTAAGGTAGGCTTTGGTCTGATCCAGCAAGGCTTATGCTACCAACAAAATAAACTTACCAGAAGGCACTGTAAATCAGATGCCCACTAGATGAAGCTGTTGCCTTTAGAAAATGGGAATAAAAACAAAACATTGAAAAAGTTACCTTGTTTGCAGCAGTTTTTCTCCAAGCAGTGCATCTTTGATTGATACCATGCTACCTAACTGCAAGTCTACAAACTCTCTGCTGGATAGTCTTCAAAGAAGCTTTCTACACTGCCTTGTTGCATAAATCAAACAGAAAGCTAGTTTTCTGTGTACATCCATGCAGCATAGGACTTTCCAGGCTATTAGAATCACATGTGGTAGATGTCTCAGTTCTACAGTGCAATGGGAAATGACTTGACCTATCAATACTAGGGAATCTCTTAAGCGAAACAGTAAGATTTGCAATACTTTCACTGCAATAGGGCTTGTTTATCATGTGACATTCTGCTGCTGCTTCCATTGCCTTATCACCTGTTGCTGATAAAAGATTTCCTGGAAAAATGTCACAGCATATCTGTAGATATTTAGAATTATGTTGCCTGAAATTTGCAATATGTACATAGTCACACACACATGCATAGATACTTTCCTTTTCTTTTTCTTGTTCAAAACTGGTTTCCATCTCCTTTTCGTGCTGCTTTTTCAAGTGTTTGTGTGCCTTTAATACAGAGCTGGGTAACAATGTGGTGTCCATGCTCTTGACTGGAGCCAAGGCTACAGTGGTTGGGACAAAGATGTAGTGTGAACAAAGTTATGAATATGGGTAGATCCTTATCTTTTTTCTGAGCTTTGTGGGGAATATTTTTGGGGTTTTTTAGCTTGTTAAGCTTACTTAGGGTGTGTGCTACAGTTTTTGTGTTTCCCACTTACCATGCAGGGATCATAAAAAGGGAGCTAAGTGTCATCTGCAGTCTTGAACCTCAGATTGCTAATTCTTGCTTTAATAGGAATGTTAAGCAGAAATCCAGGAGATGGATAATACTAAGCTTTCTCCAGAAAGCTTTATGAAAAGTGTTTTTCTATTGCCATAAAGTCACTTAAAGACCCAAAATAACACCTAATTATTGTTATCTACATCCAGACAGGTATTTTAAATTAATAATTGGAAAAGTGCAGAGTAATCTTCAATATTCTGGAGAAAAATCTATCTATGTGGTCACTAAGAGTCAACACCAACTTGATGGCACATAATCAATCATCAATCAGTCTTTGAAAGCAGTTTCATCAGAATAAGATAACTGCAATATCCAATACGTGTATGATTGTTTTCTCCTTCTATCTTTTCTGTGTCACTCAGCTGCCACCTCCACAAACTCTCAGAGCGATGACATCCTACGCAAAGACTGCAAATTTCTGCTCATAGAAAAAGAAAACGTAACCCCCAAGAAAGAGATGGAACTGTTGATCATGTCCAAGGACAGCGGAAAAGTTTTCAGTGCATCAGGCACTGGGCTTAGTGGAGGTTAGTTTTCTTTCCATTCTTTGTGGCCCACATGGTTATTTGATCTCCATATGGGATCTGTTTCCCTCCAGTCTAGTTTTATATCATCTGGTAATGTCTGACTGGGAAAATAACAGAGTTCCTTCCCATATAAATATTTTCTGTTTTTGCATGATACATTGAACCACAAACAAAGCAACCATTCTGTTTCCAGTCAGTATTTCTGAGATATCTCTACATGTTGGAGGACACCTTCCCTTAAAGCTATAAAGAAATCCATGTCACTTCAATTAAAAATAAATGTTCATTGTAAGAATAACAAACAAACAAAAAAACAGAGGAGAAATGTAGTAAGGTACACAGTTATAAAACTATAAAAGCATAAAAGTAAATGATAATTTTAATAGTATACTGAGGCAAATTAGTCTAGCTTAATAAACTTAAGAAGAATAAAAGTAATTGAACTAGGTTTTATGTTGTTCAAGTGAGGTGATTTTGATTGGCAGTTGCCTTTTCTGGCCAATGAGCAAAAAATGTTCATAGAGGAGAAGAAACATCAGAACTTTCTGAGGTGGGTGAATGAAGAAGGAAATGGCAACCTTCCAGGCAGACTGTCTTGTATATTTGTGAAAGGATGCTGGCTGGGATGTGACTGGAGGGAGGGAGGAAGTGGAGCACAGTTCTAAGCAACTCAGAGGAAATTTAATCTATTGAGCCTGAACTTCACTGTGACTAGTTTCTCATGGGCTGAAGGCTCCAATGAATTAAAAAATCTGAGGTTATTGTATACCAATGTGTTTGTGGGAATAAACCTTCAGGCTGATATCTCATATTACCTCTCTCACAACTATGCATATATAATAGATAACAGCAGCTGCATTCAGTCCTGTAGTTGCCACCTCATTACTTTTCAGACTGATCTCAGCATACCACATTTACTCCTTAAAGTCACAAGAGTTGATGACCTGGGTTAATCAATACTGGATTAATATTTTTGTTGGACAGTGATATCAGTGAAATTGATTCATTAAGTCTCCAATTCAATCTACACTATATATATTCCAAGTCAGGGATAGGCAACTTTTTCAGCCTGTGTATTACACTATAATCTTTTATCCTGCTGGATGGCCACAAGGGACATGGCTTATGATATCCCATAGGGCTCAAATTTTTATATCCTTTTTTCAGGGAGGTTTAGTATTTGAAGAGGTTATATGGGGGGAATTTGATTCTTAAGTAAAAATATTAGCTTAATATGAGGAGTGCATCAAGATTTGTAAAGGGTTTAATAGACACCATACACTTCTGCAAGGTTTAAGGCTCTCATTTTACTCTTAAAACCCCTCATCCTCCACAAACACAGAAAAAGGTCTAAAGATTATTGGCTCCAACTACCCTGAATGAATGTCTCAAACCAATAGGACAGAAAGAAAAATTTGTCTTGTTTTTTAAATCTGGAAATAAACTGGGTATTAAGCCATTTTACACTTATCACAAAATATGATTTATTTGGACCCACTACAGGCTATTACACAGAAGACACTCTACAGAAAGACAAACAAGCTATCTCTTCTTATGCTGGAGATTCCTACCTGAAATCAGAAACAAATGGTATGTCATTGATTCTCTGTCTTGATGTGAGAAGAATAATTAGGAGAAGAATAAAAGTACAGCACACACAAACATTGTATGACAACAAATATCAGGCTCCTTAAAACAGTGGCAATTTTTTCTAGTGGCAATTCAAGCTGTGAAAGCTGGACACTGAGAAAGAGTGAAAAGAAAAATAGACACCACTGAATTACAAATTTGGAGATATTTACTAGGGTTACCAGGGACTATAAAAAGAACCAATCAATTGGTACTTGATGAAAAAATAAAGCCTAACTATTTCCTTGAAATGATAATCAGAAAACAAAAACTAACATACTTTGGGCATGTGTTGCAAGTGGATGATGAACCAAAAAACCAATTATGCTTGGCAAAGTTGAGGGAAATAGAAGAAGGGAAAGATAAGGGCATGTTTAAGCAGGTTACTGAAACATCCTTGGAAAAGCTGTGGATCATCACCAGGGAGAGGTCAAGTTGGTGGGCATTTGTCCATACAATTCATCAGGAGTGCATGTGACAATGACTGGATATGCACCAAGAATTCCTGGTCAATTGTGACTGTTTGATATAGTAAAAGAGCCCCATCTGCAGTCTTTCATCCATACTCGTGAATATTGAAGCCAGAAAAATATCACGCATATGAAACTATTATGATATAGCAAGTGTTTCTCCTTTTGAGGTGAAAGAAATACTTCAGAGTAAATCAAGAGCTCACTCCCAGAGTACTGAATGAAACTATTTTCTTATCTGTGCAGCTATTTCTACTCCATTATTTTTGAGGGTTTTGAAAAACAAATCTTAATTTATAATTGCGGGACGGTTTGTAGTAATTCTTCAGAGCCATGTCCCTGTTCTCTGACCACTGAAGCCACACTATAACATTTTCTCATTTTCTCATATATATATTTATTTTTTTATTTTTTATTTTTTATTTTATTTTATTTTATTTTTTATTTTATTTTATTTTATTATTTATGTATTTATTTTCTTATTATTTATTTATTTGTTATTTATTATTTATTTTCTTATTTGGATTGACAACCACTGCTATGGATTAAACTCCATTTATAACAAGTCACACCCTCTGTGCAGGAAGAGTGTTACCCTTGTGTTCTGTTTGTTCTTACAGGTGGGCTAAAATCTGTTTCAACAAAAGACAAAGCCACTGTTGGAGGTGAACACTCATATTCATTAGTTCTTGGTTTTTACAGCACAGAAATCATTGACAGTGAATAATAGATTCAAATATTGTTATGCAAAAATATTTATTTATAACAAGAGGTTATTCAATATGTGGGGTATTTTTTTCTACAGATAAATGCGAACACATCTCTTTTATGTGAGCCTTTATACCACATATGTAGAATCTAGAAAACCCAAAGCACATTTACTTTATTCTGTGCCAATTAAATTAAATGCACACTGCTAGGAATATTCTAGTCTTTGGGGGATTGCAGCTGTACAATCATAATCTTCCAGGGAGTTTTTCTGATTGGGCCTGGTTGTGCTGAACAACATGATACAACAGCCCATTTAGCATTTTGATGTCTATTTCTAAAGCTCAGAATCCACTCCAGATGTCTCACAGTTGAACTGTTGTTGAACTTTAAAAAAAAAAAAACTTTGAGAGTGTAATGTGTGCCATAGATGCATCAATAATGGAATGATACTTCATGCTACAAAAACAATTACAGAGATTTCTTTAAAGTTTTAGGAAACTAAAATCAAGTCAAAATTCTCAGTCATATATAATGATATTTAAGAAAGCCATTGATAGTTCATTCCAATAATAGTGACACCAGAAGAACAATTGCTGCATCATATGTGGAATTCCTCTTGTCTAAGAACACTATTTCTGAAATGAGAAAATGGATCTCAGAAATTGTTGCTGGGACAATTTTGTTATTACATATAGTACTGTAATTGTTGAAAATAATAAGCTGGAAAAGACTAAATATAAAGATCTACTTTATAATGCAGTTCTAGGAATGATCTCTCTGTTTCTCTGTCTCTCTCTCTCTCTGTATATATATGTATATACATACATATATACAGTATTTGCTGCTTGTATTAATGAAAGCCCAGTATTTCTCAAAAAGGCTGAAGAATGGTTCCCAATGTGGGTTCTTTAAATGTGAATTCAATATTTATTTAATGCTAATTATTGCAATATTGGGTTTAGAATTCTGAATAAGACTCGGTGAGGGACATCTTGGCATTTTCCCCCAACCCTTGTCTTTTGTAATATTGCTTTCCAATGACTAACTTCTTTTTATCATCCTTCTCTATAGAAGCCAGAGGGGATAATGGATGTGGAGGGGCTGGAGGTGCTCCAGCCTGGTGCCCCTGTGGCTCATGTTGCAGCTGGTGGATGTGGCTCCTTGGCTTGCTGCTGGCCTGGCTGCTCCTTCTTGGCCTCCTTTTTGGACTTATTGCTTTGGGTAAGGTATTGCCATTGAATGGGACAAGCAAAAAGTTCAAGGTCTCTTCAAATAATTGATCCCAGAAAATATGGGCATATCACATTAAGTCATAGTTTATTTTAACCATGCTTTGTTGAACACACTATAATGACCTGGTTTACACACAATGTTAAGGTAAAATCCATGTTTGTACACCACAGTGGCTGGGTTTATACAGCATGCTAAGCCAAAACCAAAGCAAAACAAACTCATCATAGCTTCGTGTGATGCGTGAACCAAACAGACTTCCATGATTTTAGACAAAAACAATTGTTTCTGTTTTTGGAAGAGGCTCACTAAAAAACTATCTTGAATTTTCTTTGAATTTACAATTATTTTCTGTGCAATAATTACTTCTTGAAAAGCACACATCAAACTACAAACAGAAGGGGTAAGGACCACTGAATTCTTTATTTTACTTTACTTACAGCGGAGGAAGTAAGGAAGTTGAAATCCCGAGTGGAGAGCCTTGAATCCCAAAATACCTACTGGCAAGGAACTGGCAGTCGTTCAGAAATGTTACTCAGCGAGGGAGACAAACTGTCCAATATGAATGAACATCAACTATGGGATGTTCTGAAAAGTTGGCTAAATGTGGAGATGAAACAAGGTGAGGAACATACAAAAATCAATTTGGTTAGGACAAGAAATTATGTATTTGCCAGAAAATGTAATGAATTGTTCAGAGATGCAGGACTGGTGGATAGGAATGACTGGATCAATTTGGATTACATAGATTTTGAGGTCGGTCTCTCTAAGCGCACAAAGTCACTTTGAAAGCAACTCTGATAACTGGGACTTTAAAATATTTAGAGGTATCATATCTGGGCTGCACAAATCCAGAAGACCATTTTGTTTTGCTACTGTTTTTGTTCAGTCCCTTCCAACTCTTTGGGCAAATCCACACAGCCTCCTTACCCTGATAGAAGAATGGGCCACTATTTCCAGAGGACATGTCTACATGCCACTCCCTGTCCATAGCCAAGGCAGTCTGAGGATGGTTTTAGGTGCTACACTGTACACATTTTGCATCTTATGCCACTTCCAAATGCTGTATATGCAGGCAATGCTGGTACAAATGGGGGAGGTAGCCATGTAGCTCCAATTGGTTCTGCTGGTTTCATGTAGGACTGTTCCCATCCATCCAGTCCTTGATATGTTCCTCTGCCTCTCAAACCTATTTCAGCTATGAAAGGGAACAGAATCCAGCTTCCACAGCCACTTTTTACAATTAAATCAATTTATATGGCTGTTCATCACACAGATACATCTCTGGGTGGCTAACACATTAAATACCAGTTCAAAAAACAGTATCAACAAAACATAAAAAAACTACAATGTTCACTGAGAACAAACCCAATAAACACTCAACAATACAATAACAACTCAGCTCATGGATCATCTAACCTGGCCCCCATGCTCTGGAACACATCTACATCTTCAGTGCTTTGCAAAAGGCCAGGAGGGTCTTTTCTAAGTGGGTTGGTCAACCAGATCACTGATCAGCTGCAAAGCACTGGAGTTGACTAGTCTGTCCCAGTTTAACATAAGTATCTGGAAATGTAATTGAAAGGACTTGTATTTCTGTAGTCTGGTTCCTTTCAGGATGACATATTAGCTTTTGCCAGTTTAAGAATGGTTTCTTAACCATTTTAGGAGAAAATCATGTTGGACTGTGATATACTAAGTTAGTAATATGCAGTATTAGAGGGTTAACATTGCCCTCTAAGCAGATTTTACATAACATGCTTTCTAAGTCATACATATTCCGTTCAGTTATACTGCCATATCAATATAAAACCAGAAATAGTTTTGCATCCTTTGTACAAATATCTGACTGTTATTCCATATTGCTACATTTATGCTATGACTGCAATAAAGATTTGATTTGATTTGATATTCCTATACAGGTCGTTTCCGAGGAGAACCAGGAACAAAAGGTAGCAATTTGCTAGATTTGTTTTAATATTTGAATAAGAATCTTCTTTACTGTTCATTTCTATTCTATACGGTATATGATTGAAAGAGGGCTTTAAGTGCTTTCTTTAGCATTAAAAAAACTATCATGGGAGATTAAAACATTTCATACTTTGGGTTTCTCTCGGAGAAAGCAATAATAATTAAACTAGTTTGAATTTGTAGTGTGGGCGGGCACTTTAATTAAAATTAAGAGACATGAAATATATGAAGCAGGGTCTCGGAGAATAAACCACCTGAGGCTAACTGATATAGAACCAACATTTCTGCCTTTCATGAGCTTCTCAAACATATTCTAAGTGTGGTAGGAATTAAAGAAAGGTAGACAAAATAAGGAAAGTCTGGATATAATTTCTCTACAACATGTTTGTTTTTCTCCCATATTCTTTCTTAGGGGATATGGGGATCCAAGGACCAAAAGGTATGTTCAAAATTTTCCAGTAGCTCTACCGGTGAAACCAAGGTTGGCATAACTTTTCATTATGCACATGTGTATTTATGTGTACCTTCAGTAGACCATCAGTGACTACCAGGAATTGCTAAATTGGGAAAATATACTTAGCCAGGTATTCCTAAAAATCAGCAATCTAAATGCTGACTTATTCAATAACTGATACTAAATGACAGTTGGTAAAAAAGGAAAGTTGAGCATAGTGCCTGCCGGATCATACAGTTTTGATTTTATATGTAGAGTTTAATACTCTGAGAAATCTAGATGAAAAAAACATTTACATTTTAAAAGAAAGTCTCAAAATTAGGTGTGTATGTGGGAAGGTGCAGAAAAGACGTTATTAATTTTCTCTGCTTTCCATTGTGCAAAAGGGATTTTGATCTGTCAAGAGCCTTGAAACAATCTGTTGGATAGTACAAGCACAGAGTTAATCCAAGCTTATCATTTCTGTTGTGTGTGAAAGCATCCAAATCTCCTTTGGCTTCTGTATTAGGCAAATGTTCCTGACATAAGGTAGAACTTGAAAGACCAGAAAAATGCTGTTGACAAATTACAGTACTAGCTCATCACTTTTTTGTTTGTTTCTATAGGAGACCAAGGACTCCCTGGGCCACCAGGTAGGTGGAACTTAGGAAAAGTAGCCCCAAACAATTTATTGTTGCCTTTCTTTTTGAGATGCACCAGTAGTCAATGTCAGGGTCAATATCAGTGTCAATGATACTGCTGCATTCACATTCCCCAAGAATTAAATATTTCATTCTCGATTTAGAGAGAAAAATAGCTACTTGTTCACTTGTCCCTGAGTTCTCCATATAAAGAAGCAGTACTTGAATTACTAAAGAGACACATTTTGATCTTACAGGACACTTTTTATTTATATAGTCATATTTCCTGAAATGAAGCAAACTAAACTCTTACAGCTTCCGGAGCCCACATGCAATACTGTAGCAAATTACCAGATTGGAACAGTGTCTTTTCCTGCACTGAAATTAATGCAATGTTTTAAAATGTTAAAGTGTTATTTTAAAATTGCTATGGATAATATGGATTTCAAAAAATAAAAATAAAATATGGGACACTGGAATTCTGTTAAAATAACAATGCCAGATTGAGAATATTTTTCCATTGTAACAAATTAGTGTTTGAGTCCAACATCAGCCACAAGGATTTATAAATAATTTTTAAGCTAATGGCACTCAGAGCTATTCAAGCGATTATTCCTCTTGTCGTGATTCATTAAATGTTGGTTCTTGTGGCAAAAATCAAAATTTTAAGTTCAGATATTAATATAAATCTAATTTCAGTTTTTCTTCATGATTCTTTGTAGCTGAGCATAAATAATGACACTGATCTTTTTTAACATGCATTTTCTCTCTAACAGGTATTTCTGGCTTAATGGGTCACCCTGGGCCAGAAGGACCAAGAGGACAGAAAGGCAGCATGGGTAAGCAGAAGATTTGTCTATCCTAGAGCTTACAAGAAGCCACTTCACAAAATTCAGAAACTTTTGTCATTATATGTAATTCTCTGTAATGACAATTGCAGTCCATGAAAATAACCATTGGGTAGAACATAGACTGTGATGGACCTAGATTCTGAACAATTGGTTCTCTACAGGTGAAACTGGTCTGGAAGGCCCTATGGGACAAAGAGGGCGAGAGGGGCCTCCAGGACCCCGTGGGGAGCCTGGTCCCCCTGGATTTGGAGAGAAAGGTGACAAAGGTAAGATTTTTTTTCCTGCTTCTACAAATAACATAGAGAGAATTATTTGGAAGATTTTTCAAGTTTCTGAACACATTATGTCTGTAAGTTTCATACATGCTATATTCAGGAATACTTTCCACTCTAACTGTCCATAAGTGTCTGATGAGATATCCCTCTGCACTGCAGAGGATTTTGAGAAATATTTAATCCTTCTTCTTGGAGGGGGTTCAATTGTAGTTGCAAAGCCCCTGTTAGAGGGAGCCCAGCAATGCTACTTTGCTATGCATTGGTGAAGCCCTTTCTCTGCATGGGCAGCTATGCCTCCACTTATCTTTTCCATACTCTCCCTTTATCTTAAGGGTAACATGTAAAAGCCAGACTAGCTAGCAAGCACTGCTGGTGCCCACCATTTAAGTTTACCAAGAATGCCCCTTTATTTCTGGTAGACAGATGCAGATAGAGACAATGAGAGGAGATTTAAATGATTAGCAGCACTTGATCAGAAAGATAAATTCCCCCTCTCCCCTACAAATAGTACAAACTTGCATCACTGGGAAATGAGATGAGGAGATAAATGAGAGGGCAGTGGGATTTCCAGGTATCTTGGGAATATTGGCAAAAGTCTAAGGATTCTGAGCTCTGGCTCCAGGCTTGTTAAGACACCTAGATCTATGTGTGGCAGTGAAAGACCATTCACTGCAGTCAAGTTGCTTTTGAGCAATAGCTTGTCCACTCTCATTTATATTCACAGGAATTCCAGATAGGTTTTCAAGAGTATGATCCCAATTAACTTCTCTGTAATCATAACAATGATCCATCCTTAGTTTTAGCACTCACCAAAACAAAATAAAAAGCTAGAGACATTGTTTTTGCCATGAAGACTCCAAGACCAGTGTTATCTGTCTAAATGATATAAAAATCACAAGGCCTGAATCTCTGATCCAAAAGTGATGAGATTGCATGTTTGTTTTTAAAATATTGTACTGCCTATTGTTCTTTATTCATTAATCATAAATGGAAGCAGGGCTGAAAATAAAAACTGTATTCTAGTCAGATACTAAGTAAATGGGATGCCAACCCTTTGTCATTTCTGATGAGTAATGAGATACAATAAAAGAAAGCCATTTGGTACTTTGTTTTGTGGCAGGCAAACAATGCCTTATCTGTCTGCAGAGCTCTTGTTACTGTCAAATGTGTCCCTGCACTTGGCACTGAGAGTTAAGGAAATGTAAGAGAGAATTGGAAAATAACATTCAGAAGCTATTTCTGTGCTCTGGGTTCCTGTAACTGACCTCTCTTAAGAGGGATCTCCTGAGTGATTGTCATAACTGTACCCTATAAACATTCCTGAAAGGAAACACTATTCCCTTTACGGCGTGTAGAAGAGAAGCATCTTCCCACTGTTGCAACAAATGAACAATGTATTGTTATTATAAATAACAATCATGATTTTCATGCTATAGGATTCAAAGAAGGCAAATTTCACCAAGTGACCTAATGCATTTCTTCGTTCTTTAGGTTCTGCTGGGGAACCAGGTGCCCAGGGTCCACCAGGTGTCCCAGGTTCTATAGGTCCTAAAGGTAAGTTTAAAATCTGATGTAAAAAAACTAATAAAAATAAAAAGGTAAGAGTTAAGAAATGTTTCCTTCAAAGGCCATATTCCTTCCAGTCAAACATGTGGAGTGCTGAATGTTAGCAGTAAGTAGAACAGCTGTCTGTGCCAGAATCAAAAGTGGTCCCGGCTGACCCTTCCCTCTCTTTCTAGCCTACTTTCTCCTTATGGGTCCATCTTTTTCTCTTATACTACATTTTCTTCTTCTCTCCTTCCTTGGCCAATAGGCTACCAAAGGAGGAATAGCTCTGTCTTGCTAGAAATATGAACCTTTGAAATTATATTGCATGAAATTAGGTCCACAGTTTATTGGGCCTTGGAGCTAGGCTGGGAGCTACTTGTTAACCAATGCAGTTGCTTCAGAATAAGGATAGTATGAGCATGATCAAATGTCCCACTTAGGAATCTGGCTGCCACATGTTGCACTACCTGCTGCTTCTGGATTGGTTACAAGGATAGCCCTGCATAGAGCACATTATGGTAAACCAGACAGTATATTACCAGCACATACGTATCTAGACGAAGCCTGTAATAGGCATTCTTAGTCATAGATATCACTTGGGCTTCTAGTGATAGCTAAGATCCCAAATGGCATTCCTGTCTCTTCTGAGGGAATGCCATCCCATTTAGAATATGCAGATTCCCCAGTTTCTGTACTTCGGAACTACCTACCCACAAATTCTCTACCTTGTTAGTCTCAGTTTACCTTCTCTAATATGTAGGACCTGGGGCAATTGCTCCCATGGCCCACCCTTTGGAAATACTCTGTACTGATGGCACATTGCAGCCTGAACCCTTGAACACTGCATGCCTGCAACCTCACTGAAAGCTAGTTGATGCCTTGAGGATCCCTGCAGTATAACATCCAAGCTGCTGAGGCTCAGTCACCCAATACTACTCTCTGAGATGGTTCCTGCAAATAACCATCTTCCAGTCATAGAACAGGGGTTCCAGCCCATTTGATTCAGAAGGATTAATTGGTCAAAAACTGCTGAAAAATCCAGCAATATCAACAGTGTTACATTCCCTCTGTCTCTGTCCCACATGAGTGACCAAGGCAATCAAAGAAACAGACTTGAACCCTGTCTGAAATTGGTCAAGATAGTCTGTTTCTTCCAGTAATGTTTATGGCTGCCCAGAGACTGCCATAAAGAGAGAGGCATTTATGACTGAACAGTAGTTGTCATAAATCTCTGATTTCAGGGAGTTTTGTTTTGTTTTTTTAAGGAATTGACATACCATTGCCTGATCAATGATACAATACCACTCATTCATGCAAAGATACATTCACCACTGTTTTGATCTACCCAATCATTGCCTCTCAGCTAGTTTAAATAAGACAGAATGGAAAAGAGATTGCCCAGTAGTGCTCTGAAGGAAGCATAAGTGAGAATGATTGAGACTGGCAGTATTGCTACAGCTGTGCTTTTTAGCCTTCTGACTTTTTTGTTATGAAAGAAATATTCAGTAATACTAATATTGCTTTGTTTCAAGATTGATTCATATGATGGATGCTTGTAGCTCTAGGGCTAAAAATGAGAGTGTAGTCTTTTCCTAATGGAACTGTAAGAACCTGCATCCACAGCCATCTACACTGGGAAATGGCATCCCAGTTGTTTCTGAAACATACAAAATATTTGTTTTATTTTTGTTCCATTTAGTTTAAGATCTCTCTGTTCTACTTTGCTTTCCAATAATAATCAAAGAGGCCTCTAAATTTAAGCAAATCATAAAAGTGTCAGTGTTTTGGAGAATTAATTAAAAGTACAACTCTTGTTTATAGATACCTTCTTGTGACTGCAAACCTAAATTAATAGGCATTGGTATCCTGATCACATGATTCCTTAACTGTTGCAATGTTTCCTTTCACAGATATGATAGATTCATCATGTTAATCTGGTCTTCCTAATAAAATATCATGCTTTCAATCTGAGCATATTGCTGCCTTCCCCATGCCATGCTTTTGGGGCACCTAGGAACTATAGTCCATCAGGAAAGCACCAAGTATGCATATTATAAAATCCAGTAAATCAAGATATTGTGACTAGGCATCATCTATTTGGCTTACAAGTAGTTAAACCTGTACCAATGTAATGAAATAAAAGTGAAAGCTCCATGTTACTTATTTCCTGGTCTTAAAAAATGTTCTCAGTTACCTCTTGCCCAACCTTCCTAATTAATCTTGCTCTTTCTTTAGGTCCTCCAGGAATTCAAGGATTTAGAGGTGAAGCAGGTATCCCGGGTGCTAAAGGTACAACTCACAAACCATACTTCTCTGTTTGGGGAGTGGGGTCCAAAAACATGTCTGCCACCATGTGCTGAGCATTTATAGGATAGTACTGAACATAGGCATCCAGAGGAAGCCGCGATGTTGTCCTTAAGATCATGATGTCATCATGAGAATGACACAAATTATGCAAGTTGTCAATTTGATTATGACACAAATAATATATAGTGTTAATTTGTATCATTTGCACAATGACATCAGGATACGCATGATATCACTTGCCCACTTGCCTTTCTGTTGTTGAAAGGAGGCATTGATATGATATCCTGATATTAAAAACAGAGAATGAAATTAAGAATATAAGGATTTTAATGGATGAAAATATTATTGCTTTAAGAATGTGTACTATATATGTTCATGGAGCAATTTTTAAAAAAGTAGTGCCTAACATCTTGTTCCAAACTCAATGCTCTTTATTTGCTGCTAAGTGTGTGTGTGTCTGTGTGTGTCTGTGTACATTATTCTGCTCTTTACTTCCAAAATGGTTTAGATCAGTAAAAAAAAAGAGACTTTTCATTTCCATAAAGTTACAGTGTAAAAAGGCACATCACAAAAGGCAAAGGCATATGGAGGGAAGCAAGCAAGCAAACACAAATTTTAAATTTACATAATTCTTATAATTACTAACTGGAATAAAAATCATTAAGAAAAAGCAAGAGACAGATGGAAAAGCTCTTCCCATCTCTCTCTGCTGCAGCTTGGGTGAATTGGGCACATCGATTCTTTCTAATTTTATAGATTATACATAGTCTAATCCTTACTACCTTGTGTAATAAACATATTTTGTGTATCCTGAGGATTCTGTACATCCAAAATATTTTATTACATAAAGTAATAAGGATTAGACTATGTATAATCTATAAATTAGAAGGAATTAATGTGCCCAACTTACTCAACAGTAGCCTTTCTTTACTCTTCTTTTCAGCCCACCATAATTGAGAAATGTTACCTCCAGTAATGTTCTGCTTTAAATTCTTTGTGTCTCCATCATTTAGGTGAAAAGGGAGTACCTGGGCCCAAAGGTAGATGTGCTTTTATATCTAATTCTCTTATATTTGCCCCCATAACTTATCAAATATGTCTTCTTTACACGTTTTTCACGAAGTGATCATTCTTGACCTTGATGGGAATTATAGCACAGATTAATTTAGTTTCATTTTCTTTCCACTTGCGTTTTAGGTGATTCAGGGGAGAGAGGACCCCGTGGTCTTACAGGTATATATAACATGATCAAAGATTTTGAAACTGCCACATGAATATTTACATTTATCCAGACATAAGTATTCAGATTAATCCAAAGATTTGCGTGGAGATTGTTGGTCTCTAGGCACTCCACTTACTTGATATACTGCAATAGATTACCTGCTGCTCCCAGTGACAGAGCTGAAAATTGCTGTATTTTCATTGAAGCTGACACTAAATGCATCCTTAGGAGGAAAAGGAAATGCTTATAAATGTGCATATAAATAGGAGTGAATGAGTGTGAGGATAAGCGTGCACAAATGTCTGTGAAGGAAGTTGGATATCTGCATATGTTTACCTGTCTATGTGTTCATTATGTGCCAGGTATACAGTATCACTCAATGGCCTGAATTAAGGCTGAACATAATTCTGGATGTCTAAAAGGTTGTCCTCTCTCATTCTGAGTTATGCAGGAATGTGTGTGTGTTTGATTTCCAGGTGAACCAGGCTCCAGAGGACTGCCTGGGCCAGCAGGTGAACCGGGACCTAAAGGATCAGCAGGTGACTGGCAATATCCCATAAGGACATTTCTAGAAAATATATTTCAAATGAATTACTCACCCTTTAGGATTCTTGGAACCTACATTCCAGAATAAAAGATACTTTAATGAAGAAAATTTAAGACTCATTAAAAGAGAACAGGAATGAATTTAAAAATTAGAGTTCGGTATAGATATTCCTTGCAGTTTGGGTATGTGAGTAGTATGTAATCCGTGTTTACAGTACATGCAATATATAAAAAGGTAGATAAATTTGACTCACATGTGATTTGATCCACATGTGACTTAGTGATGATTGGAAAGATATGAATATGTATTCTTTGTTACCTTTTTTTTACTCCCAAGATAATATTAGTTGCAGTTGTGACACGGGAGGCCGTATTATAGTTTTTGACAAGGTTCAGCCAATAGAGTATGTGAAAGTTCAGACTAAACAATTCTGTTAAAAAGAAAAATACTGTGGTTTGAATTAATCAAACATATTGAAACCATTGAGTATTTTATTAGCATCTGAAATGCTTTTATATTTCTGTAGGTCCACCTGGCCCAGATGGACATCAAGGTCCCAGAGGTAAATAATTATTCTTTTATTGCCTCTTACACAAGGAAAGAACATGATAAGCATAGCCCTTTTATTATAAGGCTCAATTTTAGTAGCTTTTACTGACATTTTTCACATATTCACTGCATTACTGTATACCACAGCATCAAAATTGGCAAACCAAACCTATCCTTTAGTTATACTGGGGGAAAAGAGATATACATGCTTCCATTACATCCCTTTTTGTCATTCTGTTCCCCTCCCCACAACCTATGGTAATAGTACATCTCAAGATGGGCTGGGGTCCCAGAATCTCTGAGAAGTGTGAGAGCTACAGGACCATCATATTTGGAGAATACCATGATGGGGAAGTTTGCTGCACCATATGTTGTGTCAAATACAAGGGGCTTCTACCAAAGCATCATAATTATTATGACTTTAATTAATTAATGACTTTAAGATTAGTCTTTAGTTGTGACTAGGCAACCCATGACCCATTGGGTTATCGTTTCAGAGATATTTCCTTACCTAAAGAGAGAAACAGAATGACTAAAGGCAAAAAGCAGTGGGAGTGGGAGTGACTTATGACTTGCTGGTGGCTTCCCCATTGACTTTGCTTGTGGGAAGCTGGCAGGGACCATCAGAAATCCTCCCTCCCTCCCTCCCTCCCTCCCTCATATAATATATCCTTGTGCCATTTGCCCTCCCCTCACAACCCTCAGGAGAGCCCCAGTGAAGCCGCCACCTCCTCTTCGGATGACCTGTGGAACTGCCTGCCACTTTGCAGGAGGAGGTGGAACAAAGGGAGCTGCAGACCATGAGGAAAATTGCACCCCCGCTCCCCATTCTGGCATGTCCCCAAGAGCCTCCTCCCTTGAGGAAGGAAGAGGGGTCACCCACTGACCACCAGTGCCCCCAGCCAGCCTTATCTCACCAGCAGGCATCTGAGTTGCTCCTTCATCCTTCCCTCAATGCCCACAACCATTAAGAGATTTCAGATTTCGGCCTTGTTTCCAAAGCAGCCAATCAACACTCGCCTGTTAGGCCTTGCTGCCAGCCAATTGGGTGCAGGGGACAGAGGGAGGCGGGAAAGAGGTCAGGTATATACCCATGACGATCATGTGACTTGGGCTGACCATGGCGGCGCAGCAGCACAGGAGTGTTGAAGCAGCTACAAATTTCCCAAATTTCAATCCCACAGGAGTAATGGGTCCCAGATTTTGGATGCATTCTGTAAGTTAGCCCATTTGAGGTACCTTGGTTCAAAAATTGTTGCCCAGTTGAAGGTTACAGACACAAGAGTTTTAGTAGTATATAGATACAGTTCCATTTTTATGATTGGCCATACTTTTCAAGAAGAATACTAATCTTATATCTCTTGATTAACTTTTAGGAGAACAAGGTCTTATGGGTATTCCAGGCCCACGAGGACCACCAGGGCCTGCTGGAGATGCTGGGCAGCCAGGTAATACAGAATGGATCAAAAATATTTGTAGCAAAGGAAATTTCTTGTTTCTATCTGGAGTGTATCTCTCTGCCAGTGGAGTGTCCTAGAGTAAGACTGGGAAAATGCTATGAGAATGTTAAAAAATTGTATATATTTATTTATTCAATTTGTATGGCCACCCATCTCAACAAGTGACTCTAGGCATTATAAATGGTGAAACTGGAGAAACATTAAAATATGGTTGAGATGTGCTTATGGAGCAGCTGTGCAACTTGTTTAACATGTATTTGTGTCTGATGACTGGAGGAATGACATTATTGTTCCTTTCTCTAAAGGAAATCGTAACAAGAATAAATACAAAACACATTAAATTGTTACTTGTGCCTGGGAAGGTGTTTGGCAGGATTTTGGCTGAAGGGGTACAAGAGATGACAGTGAGAAAAATTTGGGTGTGCAGTATGTGGTCTGTTACAAATAATAAATATTTGTCAAAAGAAGCAAAAAATTGCTATGTTCTATGAAAGTGAGAATTGGATAAGTCAGGAGAAACAAAATAAGCTGAATGCAGTAGCAATGGATTAGTTAAGAAGAATATTTGGTAAAGCAAGAAGAGATAGGATCAAGAATAAATAGGTGATGAATTAATATAGATTGAATACAAAAAGGGTGATCAGTCCCAAAGAGGTACAAAGACATGATTCGATCATATAGAGAGGATCAAAGTGCATAACAAATGAATGAAGGGGGAATGAAAGGACTGAGAAGAAGGGGAAGATCAAGGAATTATGATAGGTTGGAGTTGATGAGATCCATAAAAAGAGACAGGTGAGAAGTTTAAAAAACAAAAGGAAATATATGGAGATGGTAGGAACAAGGAAGGCTTGCAAGGGTAGAAAGGTATGGAGAGATATAATGAAGGTATAGAAAGTAAGGAAGATGATCTTGGCAGACATATGCAGGAACCATTACCTAGGCAAAAGGGGCTGAAGCATCTTTTAAGTCCAGAACAAGATAATATTTGGAAATGGCTCAGGCAGACCCCTCCCTAATTCTCTGAAGTATAAGAAAGAGGAGGGGGTACAGCACAATCAGATTTGCCAGATTTTGCTCATCTCAATAAAAGTAGTTTTAAACTTCTTGTGGAGCTGATTTCCTGGTCTGGTCTACCTAGTAGGGCTGAAAGAATAGTGTTGGCATAAACTAGATTTAGCTATATTTCTTTTCCTTTGTTCTTATATTGTTTCCTGAATTTCCTTTACTATTTCTTATTCTTTTTCTGTACTTTGCATAACACTGGAAGAAGTGTGATGGGTATGTATGCATGTAGGGGGAGGCCATCAGGAACAAACAGTAAAACAGTGAAGGACAGTGTTGGCCACAGATGGGAAGTAATAAGGGCATACCTTAGAAATGCTGAAAAGGATGGTCTTGATATCAGAAGGGAAGTAAGAGATGCCATTGATTCAACTGAAAATGGGTTCAGTCTTTTACCAAAGATTTCATTTGCTAAACTTAAAATTTCACAGTAAAACGTTTTTGATTATTGTTTCTGTGTCTACCAATCTGCCTTCCTATAAACTTCATACAATGCCATTGTTTCCTTAGGTCTCACAGGACCACAAGGCCCACCAGGTAAGGTACTGGGAGGGAAACAAATGCCTAACGAATAAACATGTAGATTAAAATGTTGATCTTTAATTGGCAGAGTCCACTCAGTGAACCAAACCATGATTTGTTTTAACCATGGTTTGTTGATTAAACCATAGATATAATCATAAACATAATATTTCTTTATGAACTCAAGTTACTGCTAGAGAGCAGTAATGTAATGAGAAATGGGATAGTCCTTTTTTTAATTTGAACAGATTATTTATTTCCTTAACTGGAACAGAAATGGCTTTTTCTTCAGTGTAATTGCTGAGATGGTAGCAATGGAATTTTACATTCCAATTCTATGCATGGTTGCTTAGGTATAAGTCCCATTTAGTGCTACAGACTTATTCCCAGGAAGTAAGTATTGACTTCATAGGATGCATAGTAATTGTTACCTGTGCATATGTCATTTTCAACATACTGTAGCGGATTTAACAACATGAAATGATGCCTACATTGTATGCTTTCTGGTTCTGGAAATCCTTGGAATGCTGGGTTTGCTGCATGATTTGAAAGGAAAACAGTTGCATCTCGTGTGTTTTTCCTGCCAAATGATGAATTCCAAATTGATAAAAAAACAGACAATACATCCAAATATTAGAGGGCTAAGGGGGTCTTACAAATACAAACAGAAAGCAAAGAAAGAGAGTCTTCATAGCATTGAAATGCTACAGTACGCCAATTATACAATGGCATAGAATATTATTCATTCCATATGGTCATTTTAACTCTACAGGTCTGACAGGAAGTCCAGGCCGACCTGGACCTAAAGGTAAGTGTTCCAACATTGGCTATACAAAATGCCTTTGCTCACATCATCATGGCAGGGCAGTATCATCATGATATGCTAGAGCGATGGCATAACTTCTTCCCTCTACCCCAGAGGCACATACAGCTGTGTTATTGGGTTGCAAAATAAACTAAGACCTCTATGTGAATTCAAGAGATTCTGTCTGACTCCTTTTCCTCCTAAAATAAGACTGTAAAGCTGGGATGTTTCAATCTTTTTCCAACCAAGACCTGGACTCCAAAAATGGGCAGAGCCAAAAGAAACACTGAGTTTAATTTAACTTAATTTAAAATTAAAGTGAAGGACAATTTGATTAACTGAACTAAATACAGTTAGCACAATTTCACTCTGTATTTGAAATGCTTCCTTTAAAAATTACAATTTGGTGGCATCATTGATGGTTGGGGGGCTTGGAATTCCTCCCAAGTCTTTGGGGTTGATGCACGTGGCCCTGGGGCCACAGATTGCATATCCTGATATAAAGAATCAACCCAAAAGACCATTGAGTAGTTAGGTATTCAAACAGAGGCTTCTACTCACACCTAGCAGAGGACCTTTTCTCAGTTTTCCGCTATATTATTGCAGCAAAGCCCTGCCTAAGATGGAGTCTATGAAACAGGATGTGGGAAAAAGGGCATGATTTCTGTGGTGTATTTCTCCATTCCAAAAATTTGTGCACAAATAAATCTGAGCATAAATAATATCCTAATATACATTGTTTAAAAGAAAATCACTTGCAAAAATGTGTATATTTTAAAAATACACAAATGTGGACAAATTTGGAGGTGATTTTTATTAAAATTTAAATAGATGCAGAAACCAAAGATGGGGAAATGAGAAAGTGACCATATCTAAAATGTAAAGATTCATCCATCCTCAAGAGAAATAGATTGCATTAATACCATATTTCTCTCCCCCAAATGTTTCCGATCATGGTGTTATAATAATATTTTGGACAAAATATTTAATGGTACAAATATCTAATGACATCTCAGATGTACAGTCCACAGTTCAATAATCTGTTATTTAAAGTCCGTGTAATATCTCTTCTTATCTTCTTGTTTCTATAGGTGAACCTGGAACACCAGGCCAGGTTACCAGTTCAGGTAATGCAGCAGTAACAGCACTCATCTCTGCCCAATAGCTTTCATATCCCTTGGCAGTCTTTCTACATAAAATGATGTGTAATTTTTTTTTTTTTAATTCTCTTGTGTTTCAGATGGTGGAGCAACTATTGCAGTTCCTGGCCCACCAGGTCCACCAGGGGCTGTTGGACCTCCTGGCCCACCTGGTGTCCCAGGTGGGAATCTCATTTCATTCTTGACTATTTTCTCTTGACTGTTTCTGTTGTCTCTCAGTGGTGGATTAATATACTGATGGTGAAAAATTGATGATTAACCTTAACAAACTCCAGAGTGTGGGAGCGTGAAGCATCATGTGTAAGCATGCAAAATAGTTTAGTTGTTTAGATAGGCCATAGGTAGATTAAAGCTTTAAGTTATTAAAGAAAGAGTTGACAAATGATAGTGTCAAAAGTTCTATAGGGTCTATGTGAAGCAAATTTCTTCACAGGCAGGAGTCCAACTTTTCTCCCTTTCTAGAAGAGATGTAAACAGAACATTTCTTTACATAATCTTCTTTAAAGCCAACATAGGTGGAATTGCCCCAGTGGTACTTTTTTGTTCAGACACCTTCCTTTTTCGTCACTTGTTAAATGGAAGGAAATGAAAGAAAGCACAAATTGTGGTTTGTGATGGTATGGCATTTGAGTAACAATTGAAACCTGTAGAAAATTAATTTTACTTTGCAGATACGCCCATTATTTAATAGGTTTCTTGGTTTTCCTTCTTGAGGGTGAGATAGTTGCCTTATTTTTAAGAACAGTGGTCAAATTTTGTTTCTTAATTCAGGTCCTGTTGGCCCAGCTGGTCTTCCTGGAGCTCAAGGTATTAATTACATTTTCTGAAAGTCCAGCATTTGCTTCCTTTCTTTTCTGCCAAGGTGCTCTCATTGTGGTGTTATTTCTTTTTAGGCTGTCTTGATCAGTGTATTTCATATTTGCTTATATTTTAAGCTTTTTGTTTCTTTATGATTTCAGCCTTCTCCTTTTAATGCCTGGAATAGTCTCGTGTGCACTATACAGTGAATTACTACTGCTCTGAAACTGTTTTTTGTATAATATTTCATGCACCTACAGTGTTTGTTCGTTTGTTTATTTGTTTATTAAATTTCTCCCCGCCCTTTTCTCCCCAATGGGGGACTCTGGGCAGCTCACAAAACATCAAAACCATAAATACATATAAATACATAAAACATAAAAATTTAAATAAAACTTTACTAAAAAAAGAAGAAGAGAGTCCCAGAAGATGAAGGATCTGGGGCTGAAGACAGCAGGCCTTTATGGGGCTAGCCATCCCCATGCTTGAAGTATTCCCTCCCCAGTGTTCTTATTGCTGCTGCTGCATTTGCTGGCACTTCTTTCTGTCCTTACTATTAGTTTATGTGAGCTAGGGGTTGCCGCTCATTAAGATGAGTTGGAAAGTCTCTCCTTCACATGTCACCAACATCTGAAACATAATTAGAGATGCAAGAGAAAGCTTCCTCTGAGCCCATGGTCTCAGTTTGGAGCTACTTATTGAGGAAGACCTTCTTGATTGACTTCTGGTAGTTTTCTCCTTCCCCTCCCCCTGCCCCCCCCCGCTTCATTTTGTGAAGACCTCTCTTTCTTGCCTGCTGAGGTAACAGCTGTTTCAATGATGAAAAGGTTGTTTGTATTTATTTAATCTACTGCATTTCTGTCTTCTCTAAAATCATATGTTTCTTTTATTATGTTTCTTCTATTTACTATAAGCCACCTTGAGTTATTTCTTAAAAGGATGGCAGAGTATAGGTGTTTTAAAAATGAAAGTAACTGTAAAAAAAATATAAAGTTGGATATTAAACAATGCCATTTCCACGTACAGCATGCAGGTCATCCGTAAGTTTCTGAAGTGACTCTCAGAATCCTTAAGAATCCCTCTGAGTTCAAATGATAAGGTGGAAGCTTGCAAAATCTAAATGGTGCTTGTGGGGGAAGCTTTGCCCTGCTAAGACCCTGGAAACTTCTGCTCTGATAATTAAAGAGTGTGGCATTTTTCATGTTCTGGTGCAGGTCCTCGTGGTGAGAGAGGCATTCAAGGTGAAACCACCATTGTTGAAACCATCAAATCAGAAGCAGCTCCTATCGAAGGTAGAGTGGTCTGTTTCTGATAGACATTAATGTTCTAACAATGTTGAGAATTCCAAAGAGATGGATTGTGCCTTTAGGGTGTTAAATATGATTCCCAGAATGCTGTAATCATTGAGAATTTGGCATTCTCTTCCCTATTCTCCCTCCTCCTCATGGTGATCAGCTGCTTAGATTACAAAACAAAACAAAACAACGAACAAGGCAAATTACTGACTGTTTAATGATAGGAAGAACTGCATATCAGTATAGTGTATGGATGAACTGACAGTATTTTCATGCAGATATTACTTTGTGGCTAAAATGAAAGTCTGAAGATTCTGAAGTATAAATGTCTCAGGATCAAAGAGGAATCCTAAATGTCACCTTTTGGAAATTATCATTTTATCATGTAAAGAATCACTGAAAACTCATGCCATTTTACTTCTGAGACAACCTCCCCAGAAGATGTTGATGGTATTGAAAGCTATTGAGAAGTCCAACAGAATCTATATTCTTACTGTCTAGTCACTGTCATTTGTCACATTTAAGAATTCTAGCTTCCAGATGTCTTTAGTGCAAATTATAGGAATTTCTGTACAGTATTTCCACAGTTCCAGTTGTACAAATTTCAGAGTTAGGATATACACAATTTGAAACTAGAGTTGACTAATCCTTTGCTTGTTCTGTCCCTAACCCAAGACTTATGCTTTAAGCACCTGGAAGTAATTTCCTCAAGCACTTTCACAAGATGATGTGCAGGACACTTCTGGGTGTCATTAAGTCAACTTGTGAGTGCTAATGAGAACAAGTCCTAAAATGATGCATGTATTGTAGTTTATCTTTTTAATTTGATTTACCAAACATCAGAAAAGATGTGAACATTTCTTCAGAGGATAAGCTTTATATGAGATGCTTTTAATTCAGCTTCTCCAACTTGATTTGTTCAACTACAACTCTTATTTTCTTCAGCCAACATGCCCATTGTTCATATTATCTAGCAATTAGGAAACTGTAGTCATGGTTACAAATTTTGGAGAAGGGGGTGACAAAGCACGTGCCATTCCCCCCCCCCCATGGATTCTCCAGAGGATCATGCTCTTCCTAGACTGCCTGCCTGACCAAGACAAGCGGTACCATCAGACTACTATAAGTACCAATTTGACAAAGCACATGTGGTGGAGGCACTCCAGGTTTCATTCAGGTGCTGTGTCCCCCAAATCTCCATACAGCACCAAAAATGACTGAAACTCAATTTCTATTGTTAGTATTTTTACTTAATTAAATGTGCCTGCTGCTCAAGAAGAATAAAAAGCTTACACCTGTGGCTGTAGTCCAATATATCTAAAGGCCACCAGATTGAGGAAGATTACTCTGATACTTTTTAATGTTGTTTTCATCTCTAAAACATATCTAATATTTAATTTGTACATTCTACTTACCTGTTTTGTCTAGCACTGCAAAATACTAGAGGACTACCAGGACCACCTGGACCCCCAGGTCCACCAGGACCCCCAGGTATATACTGAGTTCTATATATATAATGTTCAAAAATGAAGCGGAATTAGGTGGGAAGATGAAGCATGCTTTAAGTCCTCCAATGGGATAATGGGTCATTATATCTTAGAGATAAATTCATTTGCCATTTCTGAGAAAAAAAACCCCAAATCTAGTAGTTTTTTAGTTGTTCTACAGTTTTATTGCTTCATATTTTGTAGTTTATTATAGGCCTGATTCTGTGTGTGTGTGTGCATGTTTGTGTGTGTGTGTGTTTTAAATTCTGTTTGGTAGAAGTGATAGGTGAGCTGCTATCACGCCAAATATCTGTGCAGAAGACATAGCATAGCTTTGTGTCAGGTTCAGCCCAAGAATCACACGAGAGAGTCTGGAAATCAGCTCAGCTTCTTTATTAGTTTGCACCTAATAGACAGAATCTTGCCAGACTAACTCTAATTCCCCAACAAGAGCAGCTATAACCATCAAGCCCTTAGGAAGGGGCCAGTCTCTTCCTCCTTACTTTCACATAGTCCAGCTGGGGGCTGAGGAGATGCTTGGGATGTCACTCCCCCTCCCTGTAACCTTGAAGCTCCCTTCCAGAATCCTCCCCGCTCATGCCTTCCATCACAGTCCCTCAAGTCAAACTTGATTCTTGGTGACCATATGGACACAACCGAGCAGAAGTGTTTTGCCATTGA